AAGGAGGAGGAAGAGGAAAAGGAAGAGGGGAGAGAGAGGAGAGGGAGAAGAAGAGGAGGAAAAAGAAGAGTGAAGAGCAGGATTGAAGAGAAAAACTGGAAAAGCTGACACGATAAAGTGTGTGTAGAGAAAAAAGGAGAAGAAAGAGAAGTAGGAGAAGAAGGAGAAGAAAGTGAAGAAGAAAGGAGGAGAAGGAGTCCGAGGAAGACCTCTTGGCACGTTTCTGTCTTTCACCCTCCATTCGTGCCTCTTCAAATTCTGCAGCACTGCTGGTCACAGCTGACCTCCAGCTGGAGCGCTCAAGGGCCAGGGCTTCCCAGTTCTCAGTGTCTATGCCACAGTTTTTAAGGTTGGCTTTGAGCCCATCTTTAAATCTCTTTTCCTGTCCACCAACGTTCCGTTTTCCATTCTTGAGTTTGGAGTAGAGCAACTGCTTTGGGAGACGGTGGTCGGGCATCCAGACAATGTGGCCGGTCCAGCGAGTTGGTGGCAGAGGACCATCGCTTCAATGCTGGTGGTCTTTGCTTCTTCCAGCACGCTGAGGTTTGTCCGCTTGTCTTCCCAAGAGATTTGCAGGATTTTTCAGAGGCAGCACTGATGGAATTGTTCCGGAGTTGCATGTGACTCTGTAGACAGTCCACGTCTCGCAGGCATAGCAGGGTTGGGAGGACAATAGCTTTATAGACAAGCACCTTGGTCTCCCTACGGATGTCCCGGTCCTCAAACACTCTCTGCTTCATTCTGGAAAATGCTGCACTTGCAGAGCTCAGGCGGTGTTGTATTTCAGCGTCGATGTTGACTTTGGTGGAGAGGTGGCTGCCAAGGTAGCGGAAATGGTCCACATTTTCTAATGTTACGCCATTAAGCTGTATCACTGGCATTGGAGAGGGATTGGCTGGTGACTGCTGGAACAGCACCTTGGTTTTCTCAATGTTCAGTGACAGGCCGAGCTTCTCATATGCTTCTGCGAAGGTGTTTAGAGTGGCTTGTAGATCTTCTTCTGAATGCGCACAGACGACATTGTCATCAGCATACTGGAGTTCTATAACAGCTGTTCTTGTAACCTTGGTTTTGGCTTTCAGTCTGCTGAGGTTGAATAGCTTGCCATCTGTCCGATAGATTATTTCCACTCCGGTGGGAAGCTTCCCATCAACAAGGTGAAGTATCATAGCGATGAAGATGGAGAATAGAGTTGGGGCAATAACACATCCCTGTTTGACACTGGATTCCACTTTAAATGGGTCACTTTGGGAGCCACTGCTGTCCAAGACTGTTTGCAGACGACACCAAATTGGGAGGGAGAGCCAATACTCCAGAGGACAGGAGCAGGATTCAAAACGATCTTGACAGATTAGAGAGATGAGTGGCCAAAACTAACAAAATGAAGTTCAACAGGGACAAATGCAAGATACTCCACTTTGGCAGGAAAAACGAAATGCAAAGATACAGAATGGGGGACAATGCCTGGCTTGAGAGCAGTACGTGTGAAAAAGATCTTGGAGTCCTCGTGGACAACAAGTTAAACATGAGCCAACAATGTGATGCGGCGGCAAAAAAAGCCAATGGGATTTTGGCCTGCATCAATAGGAGCATAGTGTCTAGATCTAGGGAAGTCATGCTCCCCTCTCTATTCCGCTTTGGTTAGACCACACCTGGAATATTGTGTCCAATTCTGGGCACCACAATTGAAGGGAGATGTTGACAAGCTGGAATGTGTCCAGAGGAGGGTGACTAAAATGATCAAGGGTCTGGAGAACAAGCCCTATGAGGAGCGGCTTAAGGAGCTGGGCGTGTTTAGCCTGAAGAAGAGAAGGCTGAGAGGAGATATGATAGCCATGTATAAATATGTGAGAGGAAGCCACAGGGAGGAGGGAGCAAGCTTGTTTTCTGCTTCCCTGGAGACTAGGACACGAAACAATGGCTTCAAACTACAAGAATCCTTAACAACCTAAAGGCACTGGATCCTGTCTGATCTTGGATGCTAAGCAGGGTCAGGCCTGGTTAGGACTTGGATGGGAGACCGATATTCTGTATTTCCACAAAACAGACACAAAAATGCGGACCTTTTCCCTACAGGTGTTGGCTATTTGTTTGAATTCTTCTTTGGTGATTTCTCCCTTTTTCCACTTCTTGTGCATGTCTCTTTTGTGTTTTAGCACAGTTAGAAGTTCTTTGGACATCCATTCTGGCTTCTTTGCACTTGTCCTATTTTTTCTTTTTGTAAAGACATTTCTCAGAGAAGGTATATCTGAAACCTTGGTAGAGATTCCATCTGAACATGAGGAAGAACTTCCTGACTGTGAGAGCCGTTCAGCAGGGGAACTCTCTGCCCCGGAGTGTGTTGGAGGCTCCTTCTTCGGAAGCTTTTAACAGAGGCTGGATGGCCATCTGTCAGGGGTGATTTGAATGCAATATTCCTGCTTCTTGGCAGAATGGGGTTGGACTGGATGGCCCACCAGGACTCTTCCAACTCTTTGATTCTATAATTCTATCTATGATTCTATTTTTCTAAGGCCCGCCGTCGAAACGGGGTTCCGTAGACCTCGGAAAACTCGAGAAGTATCCACCAGGATAACGTTCGTCGAATTAGCGGAACTTTTACGCCTTTGACCCTCTAGAGGAAAAAGTGAAATCTTGATTGGAAGCGGGTGATGATTGCTGTGAAAGGAAGGGAGTCACTTGGCTTGGGAAAGGCTTTCCTGGAGCTCGGAGCCAGCCAGCCGTGTCGATTTTCCTGGAACGTTTCCCAGCATTCTTGCTGGGATTTTTCCCCTGCATGGCTAACCATTACTCATGCGGAGGGCCAAGCCCAAGGATGGAGGAAAATACGAATGAGTCACAGGGTTGGAAGGGACTCCCAAGGGTCATCCAGTCCCACCCCTTTGGAATAACACAGCCCAAGCTCTCCAGATAGGTGACTATCTAACTTTGGCTTCAAAACTTCCAGAGAAGGAAACTCCAGGCAGTGTATTTAGCACTAAACTTGGAAGGGATCTCCAGCCGAACCCCTTGCAGGAAGACAAAACCCAATCACTCCAGACAGATGTCCAGAAGCAGATCTTTTGTGACACTTGTCTAGATTCAATTTCATAAAATTACAGAGGGGAAAACACTCCAATTCCATTAAGAGTTGGAAGGGCCACCCAAAAGTTATCCACTCCAAAACACTTGCAGAAAGAGCAAAGAGCAATCAAAACCTTCCTGACAGAGGGCCATCTAGGCTTCCGTCCTAGTCAGATCTCCCTTTCGTCAGGTGTGCTACTGGCACAACACTAGGAAAGAAGATCAAGACACTACTGAATTGTGTATTCCACTATAGAGTCTTGAAGAGAAAACCCAAAGACCCTACAGTCCTGCCAGGTAGGAGGACACCATCAGAGCCCTTTCGACAGATGGCCATCCAGACTGGGGGGTCTCTAGGATTCTAAGAGAAGGAGACTCCCATCATCATCAATAATAATCTAGAGTTGAAAGCGACCCCAAAGTGACGACCCAGTCTATCCCCTTTCTGCCAGGTAGGAGGACACCACCAAAGCCCTCCCAACAGATGGCCATCCAGACTGGGGATCTCTTCCAGCTCTAGGATTCTAAGAGGAGACTCCATCATCATCATCATCATCATCAATAATATCCTAGAGTTGAAAGAGACCCCAAGGTGGGCACCCAGTCCATCCCCTTTCTGCCAGGTAGGACACCATCAGAGCCCTCCTGACAGATGGCCATCCAGACTGGAGATCTCTTCCAGCTCTAGGATTCTAAGAGAAGGAGACATCATCATCATCATCAATAACAATAATAATATCCTAGAATCGAAAGAGACCCCATGTTGTCCATCTAGTCCATCCCCTTTCTGCCAGGTAGGAGGACACCACCAAAGCCCTCCCGACAGATGGCCATCCAGACTGGGGATCTCTTCCAGCTCTAGGATTCTAAGAGGAGACTCCATCATCATCCTCATCAATAATATCATATAGTTGAAAGAGACCCCACGTTGTCCATCTAGTCCATCCCTTTTCTGCCAGGTAGGAGGACACCATCAGAGCCCTCCCGACAGATGGCCATCCAGACTGGGGATCTCTTCCAGCTCTAGGATTCTAAGAGGAGACTCCATAATAATAATAATAATAATAATAATAATAATAATAATAATAATAATAATAATATCCTAGAGTTGAAAGAGACCCTACGTTGGCCATCCAGTCTATCCTCTTTCTGCCAGGTAGGAGGACACCATCAAAGCCCTCTTGACAGATGGCCACTCAGCTCCTGCTTCCCTCAACACCAAAGCAGCATATTCCGATGTCAAACGACTATATAACTTAGGAAGTTCTTAATGTTTAATCTATATCTATAAATCTGTAAGGGGCATCCAACGGGACAGCAAAACTCATGACTCTCACATCATTACTATATTTCAGCTTATGATTGAGTAGGACTCCTTGGAGCTGTTTTGTATTTGGAGTGCATTCCAGGGATGACTTTAATTCCTAAAGAAGGCGCGTTTGGAGAGATTGCAAGGCTGTGCTTTCCGCAAAGAGCCCTCCATGCCGGAGAAGAATTCAAGTGGCATTCTTGATCTCTTGATTCTGGTTGGAAAGGAGTCAAAAGGAAGGAAACTCCCCTGGATGTGGGGCCTTCTCTGTGCAAAAAGGTGGGGCAAGGAGGACAACTGTGCATGAGTGCATTGCTGGACATTCTGAAATCATTGTGTGTCTTTGGAGAGAAACACACTGCTGACCCCTACTGGTGAAGAGGCACATTGTGCTCATAGTGTTGGAAGAGTCCCCCAAAGGCCATCCAGTCCAACCTTCTT